TTCCTCTGCCAACTTGTTGCTTTTCGGTTGCATTTCTTCCAGTTTGTTGGACAGGAGCATAATTCCGCGCCAGTTCTTGCATTGACTTAGGTCTCCTTTCTTTGGTAGTTTGAATAAGTATCCTTTCTTCCAATCCTCGGGTACTTTGCCTTCTTTCCACACCTTCTCCAGTAATGGCATCATCAAGCCCGCTGTTGTTTCTGGGTCCATTTTCAATGCTTCTGCTGGGATTCCATCTGGTCCTGCTGCTTTTCCAGCTTTTAGCATCTTGATTGCCTTCAGGACTTCTGATTTCGTTGGGGGGTTGGTGTTCACTAGTAGCTCTGTCTCCGTTGTTGGTATTGTTGGGCGCGTTGTAGGTTTATATCTACAAAAAATGTATTCCAGCCATTTACTGATCATAGGGAATAAAAAGACAGTTGCATTGAAGAAAATTTTCGACGAAACCACCAACTAGGCTGTACGTTCGTGTATTTATAATAAATGGGTAGGAAAGTTCCAGAATAATTTCTGGTCAAGGGTCAAATTAGTTAAATTACAATTAGGAATTAAAATGCGATAATAAACAGGGGGACGAATAAAGCTCAGACAAAGTAGCATCATAATAACTGAGAAGATTGACATATTGTGCAATTAGGGGTTAGAAGTGTAGAAATAACAACAACAGACAGGATGTTTGGATAAAAAATCTAGTGGGATCATAACTAATGTGAAGAATAATTGTCTATGCAATCAGGCATTAAATATGTAGAAATAATAAAGTAACAAAATAGACAGGAAGTTCGGATATGAAAATATGGTAGTGTAAATAGGGATTAAGAAAAACTTAAAAATAACGTGAATAAACAGGAATTCTAAATAAGAAAGGTAATGGGATAGTCACTATTAGAAGAATTACCTGTTTATGATGGCCACGGCAGGGACAAGGGGTGAACGTATTTCTTTTGGATACATAGTGTGGGTTTGAGCTTTTGGATGGCTAGTGCCTCGGCTATGCCCAGATGTTTTAATTTTACTCCCTTTGGTAGGTTTGATCGAATCTTGTATATTATTTTGAAGGATTTTTCGAATGGCGCTGAATGTCCTGAATTGACCAGATGTTCTGTCACTGAACTATATACACGTTTTCGTTCTCCTTTTACTAGCCAGACTGGATAGTGTTCACGAGCGCGTTTTTCAAGTTGGCGCATGGTACGGCCGATGTACTCAGCTCCGCAAGAGCAAGTAAACTGGTATATGCACGTTGAAGTGGCCCAATGCGACAGCTTGTCTTTCGCGTTCTGGTTGAACAGTTTCTTGCAGGAAAACGTTAGTCGTAGGCTCGCGGCGAAGTATGTCTTCCTCAGAGATTTGCAGAGGCGTTTACGAAGGATTTCTGCTTCAATGTCACCTTTGAATTCTAATTAAGCAGAAGTATCTTCTTCGGGACGGATTGAACTTGTTCGGAAGTCTTCTTTGATTTGAGGTTCTTGTCTATGAACCTAGGCGGAAAACCGTTTTCCATCAGGGTTCTTCGGAGATTACTCAGTTCTTCATCAATCACCTCCTCACTGCATATCTTCCGAATCCTCGAGGAAAGAGCGTATATCAGGCTCCTCTTTCTGCTTAGGGGTACAAAGCTTTGAAAGTTGATGAATTGTCCAGTCCATGTGGGCTTTTTGTATATGAACCTTTTCAGAGAGTTGTCGGCGTTTCTTGTCAGATAAACGTCGAGGAAGTGGAACTTTCCGCCGGATTCGCCTTCAACAGTAAAGTCGATGTTTTGGTGGGCATTGTTGAATGTTTGAAGTAGGTTGAAAAATTTCTTCAAAACATTGAAGACTCTTAAAATCATGGCATAGTTTCTTAAAATTAATGATAATACAATGTCAGACAGAAGTAAACATTATCTAATTAACTATCAAGAAATTTTAACAGTAAGCTCGAAAATGTTAAGTTCCTCTATAAAGTTCATCAAAAATGAAAACAAAGAAATTTGTTTTCTAAAACAACGAATGATAGATCAGTGTAATAATTCTTGAAGCACAATCAGGCTTCTCTTGTTTCCATTGTGAGGTGTAAAACTTTAAGTGAACTGCAGGTATAATATATCCCGGCGATGCATTCAGGG